GTTATATCCAGCCAGGTCCCAGCCCCCACCACCAATCAAGGCCTGAAGCAGCCCCAGCAGAGTCACAGCTTCCAGCCGTTGGGGGAGGAAGCAGTTCTGGACTCCACTCCCCCCACCCTCCAGCCTCCCACACTGGCAGAGAAGGTCCAAAAGGCCACACAAGAGATAAGGGGTTAATGGGACGGTGGTGAGGGTAAGGACCCCAGATATGCACCCCCACCAACAAAAGGGGGGCATCCCAGAGCCCTGAACCAGGGCACTGCTGGGAGGGAAGTTTGCAGCCCCCTAGGGCATTGTTGTGGGGAAGCTCACAGCTTCCCACGACTATTCCCTGCTTGCCCCAGGCTCTGCTAAAGGCAACAGGTTTTATTCTGGTGGAGGGGGGGGGGGGGGGGGGGGAAGACTCTCACCAGCCTCCTTCCCCCCTACCCCAGTTTGGCGTTGGTGCCCCTCACTCCCGACCCTAACGCAGCCCCTTGCCCACAGGGGGGCTGCTGGCTGGAAGCCGGGCTGGGAGCGCAGACACACGGAGGGTGGGGGGCAATTTCGGGGTAAACGGGGGCTATACATGTAAGGGAGCTGCGCAAGGAGTGGGAGATCAGGGGACCCGATGCAGCCCCCCCCAAGGCGGGGGCAATTGGGGGTGGGAGGAGTCCAGGACACCTCCAACTTACCCAGGCGAGCAAAGGAGCCACCCCAGGCCGCTCCGCACTCATGGCTGCCCCGCTTCGCGCGGCAGTCCGCCCAAACCAACAACTCGATCTAGAGCGGCACCTCCTGGCACGCAAAGCTGTTTACACCTTCCCGCTGCCATCTTTAACCTGGGCAAAGCATCACTACTTCCGCTGCCAGGCGGTTTTCTGGCCGCACCGCCCCATGGTGTTGCGGTGGTTTAGGGAGAGGGTAAGGCTGGGTTTTGTGGTCCCCTGCCTCTCCCGGGGTAGCGCTGCAGTCTGGCCGCGGATCCCGGCGTGGGGCAACTGGTGGGAGCCTCAAGGGCCTGTGGGTAGTTTCTGTCCCCTCTCCCCGGGTACCAGGCCCAGCCCAGCCCAGGTGCATTGCCGGATGCAGGGCGGTAGCTGTGGTTTCCAAAGACCTAGACACTCCACAGTACAGGTCGAGGAGGGGGCTCCTGAGGCCCCTCCCCGCAATGTAGGGACCCAGGAGTCCGAGGAAAATGAAACCCGGATCGTTTTGAGGAAGTGGGGCTCTGCGAGGAGGGCCTCCCCCACCGGCTTCCCCGGGCGGGGAAGGGCTATTTGCATAGGGGGGTCCCTGGGTTCCCCCCGCGGGCAGCTGCAGGGAAGTCGAGAGTCTGAAATTCCCCGACTGGGAGCGAGGGCTCGGGGCACTGCTGGGGGGGGGAAGTTCGCAGCCCGGGGTGGAGGCGGGGTTCAAGGAGCGAAGGCACTGCTGCAAGAAGTTCGCGGCGCTATGGGGGGGAGCTGGACTATAGGTGCCAACTCCGAGCTCCGGCCACCAGGAGGCAGCAGACCCCAGGAGGTTACTTTAGGTCAAGGCCATGTTAACTCTTCGTGGGACACTAAGGGACCAGGTCATAAGCCTCCCACCTTCACTTGGGGGTGCGGGCTGGGACCCTCCTAACATGCAGCATGCTGGCCCCTCTCTCCAGCCCTGCTAGTGCCCCTCACTCCTGACCTGCAGCCCCCTGCCCCCACCAGCCCTGCCAGCGCCCCTCACTTTCTTCCTGCATCCCCCTATACTCCCCTCCGCGCCTGGGCTCTAGCTGGCTCTGTGGCTCTAGTTTAAAATAGAGTGGGGCAGGAAACCAGAAACACGGTCTATTTGTCCATCTGTCTGGGCTTCCTTCAGGGCCTCTATTACAGATGCCATCCCCTACTGGTGCCCCTCATTCCTGACCCATAGACCCTTGGCTAAAGGGAACCTGGTGCCCGCCCTGGCCCTGGCCCTGGCCCTGGCCCTGGGGGGAAAGCTCCTGCTGGTTCCTTCCCCCTGGGAGCCATGGTGCAACTCAAGATGCCATCATCTGCTCCCTGCTTCCCCTCCCCTCCCCTGGACAGTGAGGGGTTAACCCTCATGGGGCTGGG